TGGATGCGGGGCTCGAACTCATGAACCGCAAGATCATGATTTGAGCCGAAGTCGGACGCTTAACCGACTGAGCCACCCAGGCGCTCCCATCTCCTTCCTTTTACAGAGAAGAAAAGGGAGGCAGAGAGGAAAAGTGCTAGAACTGGAACAGGATTTCCTGGAACCTGCGGGTTGACATTACAATAATTGCACAGAGATGAAGTAGGAATATAGTTCACTTGACTTTGAGAGGTTCTGTTCCTGAAGAGCAGAGTAAACCCTGGGGTGGATCTTGGACGTGGGACGGTCTTGAAGATCTCCTTGTAAAACGGATCTCCTGGTTTCAGGCTGGGGCAAGATTCTGTAAGAACTGGGGATTTCAAGTTCATGAATATGCTAGCCAGGAAGATCCTTCTTCTTCTTGCCCCTTGTAAGTAGGGGGTTGCTCTTGGGATGTTTTTAGTCCAGGATCCTTCCTAGTGCAGTGAGCTGTAGACAACAGCTACCAGGGCAAATATGTTCCACCTCCTGTTTTTGTAAAAAGGTTGTATTGGAACAGAGCCATGCCGGCTCACTTATACATTGACTGTGGCCGCTTTCGTGCTACAATGGCAGGGTGAAGAGTTGTGACAACACGGCTTGCAAAACCTAAAATGTTTGCTGTCTGGCCCTTTACAGACAAAGTCTGTCTTTCCTGTCCTAGAGTTACATTATTAGGTGTTCGTGAAGCAGGGACGTTGATGTGTATGCTCGATGCGGCAGAAATGTTAGAGCCGCAGACATCCTAGATGGTCCACCAGTATGAATGGTGAAACAGAGCTAGCCCTCACTGTGTGGAGAAGTGGGAAAAGTCCATTATTCCCTGAAGTTTAAGGAAAGTTCTGAGCCAACAATGTGATCGTTCAGCAGTTTCACTTGATGCATTTTATAGTTCTCTTCTTTTTTTAATGTTTATTTATTATCGAGAGACAGAGACCAAGCATGGGCATGGGAAGGGCAGAGAGAGGGGGAGACACAGAATCCGAAGCGGGCTCCAGGCTTTGAGCTGTTAGCACAAAGCCCAACGCGGGGCTCGAACTCACAAACTGCCAAACTGCAAGATCATGACCTGAGCCGAAGTCGGACGATTTACCGACTGAGCCACCCAGGCTCCCCTGATAGTTCTCTTCTGTGCTGTTCCCGGGAGATTCGAATTCACTGAGATCATGAGAAAAGGAAGGTTCTAGATTGCTTAATCAGTAGTATCTGAGCTATTTTTCTTTAAAATGGGCACTAACTAGTCCATTCTCCTCAGAAAGAGGAAAAGGTTTAACAATTAGATTATAATCCAAAACCAACTGATTGCATGACCAAAATGAATGACATTTCCAGTAAGCCCAGATCTGGTAGAACAGGACAAGGACACTGTTTATGCAGTGGTGGGGAGGCCCTTCCTTTCCTCTGTGGGTGGGACTCAGCAAAATTCTCTGCTCCTCCAAGGACCGTTGGGGGTAGGGAGGAGAAGTAGAGGGGAACCTGAGACGCATATTTGTGCTGCCCACATCCTATCTTGGCTTACCTTTTGCTCAACAGCCAGGCCTTACACCTTGTAAATGTTGATTTTGATAATATTTTGAAGTTCTAACCAAAGGATTGTAGAAAACAAATGGATCCAGTTACATTAGAAATAGATTCGCTAGATGTGTTTTTTTAAGTAAAATGATATTCAATCCATTTCGAAGTTCTATAAATAAATAGTTGGTGTTTTTTTTTTTTTTTTTTTTTTTTTTTTTTTTTTTTTTTTTTTTTTTTTTCCTTTCCAGACTGCGATTCTGGTCTTATTCACAAGTGCTTATGCAAAATGCTACTTAGGGCCCTTTAGGGAATGAGCAAACTGTGGCCATCCCCTCCTTAGAATTTTGTAGGAAGAGCACAAGTGGAAGCCCATAGACCATAGTGCAGCCCAATCCCCCTTTCCTTCCCACACCTCTACACAACTGTCCTAGCCACCCGTGGCTGCACACTCCTGGAATCCTCTTTAGGGAGGCAAAGAAGTCTTTGTAGGCCCTGGAAATGGACGTGGTGCCAACTGGGAAGGATATTCCAGGTTCCTGGATGAGTATCCAGAAAGGGAAAGAATGGATACGAGGTATGCAGTCCCCTTGACCCTGTGGACTGTGCTCTGTGGTGAGGGGCACGGCTGCAGGAGGCTGGACTGGGGTTCCTCTAAAGCATGGGGCTGTCCCGGCTCTGAAGGCCCGTCTTGGGACTCAGGCAACAGTAGGGAAGATCTTGTGAACTACGACTTCTCTTTTTGCCCCTTTTGGCTCAACATGCCTGGGATCGTCACGGCTTTCACCCAATTATACATGGAGAAAAACACTGGAACAAGGATGGTGATGCTCTAGGAGGAAACCAGCTGCAAAAGAGCCCAAGTTCTGGGAAGCCTGCCTTAGGTGGGGCAGTAACAACTGTTTTCCCATTCCACCAACAGAGAATGCGGGAAGCCTTCCTCCTGATAAGCAAGTGGGCTTTTGGGTGGAGCCAGTTCCCGCTGAGCTCGGAACACAAATCCCATTAGTTCAGGTCTATAACCAACCCTGGACAGGATTGAGGCCTTCGGGAGGGGGTTTGCCCAGAGCCTCGGTCTCAGCCCTTCACAGAGTTCCCACCCTAATACGTAGAAAGCTCTGTCATGTCTGGTTTTGTCCCTGCAGATAACAACACCATCTCGGAACTCAGCTCCCTGCACGAGGAGGACAGTAATTTCCGCCAGGCGTACCACCAGATGAGAAGCAAGCAGTTCCCTGTGTCGGGGGATTTGGAGAGCAATCCTGACTACTGGTCAGGTGTCATGGGAGGCAGCAGTGGGGCAAGCCGGGGACCCTCAGCCATGGAGTATAACAAAGAGGATCGGGAGAGCTTCAGGCACAGGTGAAGGTGGCTGCAGCAGGCAGCTTTGGTGCCGGGTGCTGGTGGCCGGAGCTCGGAGGCTGTTACTTTCTGATAGCATCTCTGTCTCCCCTTCTAGGTTGTCCTGCCACATCCCTTTGGGCTATTGAACATCCCCTTCTCACATTAATTTTTTTATTAACTTTTTAAAAAATCTTTATTCATTTTTGAAAGAAAGACAGACAGAGCGTGAGCAGGGGAGGGGCAGAGAGAGAGAGAGGGAAACACAGAATCTGAAACGGGCTCCAGGCTCTGAGCTGTCAGCGCCAAGCCGGACGCGGGTCTGGAACTCACAAACCGCGAGATCATGAGGCTGAAGCTGAAGTCGGCGGCTTAAGTGACTGAACCACTCAGGCGCGCCCCACCCCCTCACATTTATTAAGCAGGGGAACACTTAAGACACCATGTGTAGAAGTAATCATTCAAGGCCCTTTGAAATGGGCACCGGACTGAACCTTAATGCACCTTATTAACTACGTTTCCTTATTAACCTTATTGACATTTCCCTGCCCTTCTCATAATATTTTATCCTATAACCTCTAAAAATTCCCACCCATCACCCCCATCATTTGATCATTGTTACGTGAAAGGTAAGATGCCAAACACGTTATATATGCTGTTGTATTTGATCCTCATAACTCTAAAAGGCAGGTACTATTAATGTCCCCATTTTAA